CACACACATCAAAACGTTCAAAAATGCTCAAGAACACATCAAAAAACTTGATTTAGAAGCTTCAGTTTAATGAGTGAATTACACTCATCACTATGTATAATATCTAATATTATATGCAATATCTCATAAATCTAACAATTATAGTTATCAAAATTAATTCAAAATTTTGGATCGAAATAATTAATTAATTAACTTAATTGGCGGGCTTATTTAATTAAAATCAAATTTTAACTAAATCCTGAATTAGAGTCCAACTCTAATTCCATAACTATTGGGCGAAGTAACTTAATCAAAATCGAATTTTAATGAATCATTAAATTAGAGTCATACTCTAAAATTTTAATTTGCATTGGGAAGTGATATTAATTGAAATCAAATTTTAATTAATATAATATTAGAGTCCAACTCTAATAAAATTGAATTAATATTTTAATTTAGGACAAAATTCCCAAATAAAATAAAAATTCAATTAAGGGTCAAAATTAAATATTTAAGTTAAAATCTAATTTTAACAAAAATATAAAAGTCATCAAATTTTAAATAAATTTTAATTTTGGGTCAAAATTAGGGTATGAGTCAAACTCAATTAAAACATCATTTTAAAACCAATTCAAAATTCAAATTCAAAACCATTTTGACAATTTACAAATTTGATCCAAGTTGGAAATTAACACCAGACCCTTCCAAATTAAAAATTTGCAGAACAAGTCCCCCTTTTAAAATTTTGCAAATTGATCCCATTTTCGTAATTGCAACCAGGGGCCCCTAATTGCATTATTTGCAACAGAGACCCCCGTCTCCAACCACTAAATTTATTTATTCTGCAGGCGTAGCAGCGGGCAATGCAGCGCGCGCGCTGTCGCCACCGCCCCGCTGCCTCGATCCAAAAAGAAAAAAAAAACGTTTATTTTTTGTTCTTTCAAAATCAGATTCTGGAAAAATATAAAAATAAAACTAAAACTACAATTGCTAGATTCATGGATTAACATGATTAAATCAATTTTTAATTTAATCAATATGTAGACCAATTTTTAACAAATACAAAGTTGGCTCTAATACCACTGTTGGGAATTTACTTAAAAATACACAGTGGAATTAAACAATTTCAATTTCTATTCAGGATTCAGCTTTGTATTTAGATAAGAACTGTGATAAGAAATATACATTTTTCTTGATTTTGCAAACTCCTTTGCATTATTCTTTTCAACAACTTGAATCTGATTCCCACAACTGTCCAATTGTCCAGCCTCCAATGAAATCCACACAGAGAATAGACTACAACTGCTTGGATTTTTCCTCTTGTGCTAGCAAGAATAATGAAAATATTATGAACCTTAAACCCTAACCATGTATTTAAATAAATCCAAACGGGCTCGGCCCGGTTCAGTCCAATATTTAATTAATCCATTTAATTAAACCCGATCTGTGAATTAATTAATCCAATTAATTAATTCAGGATATAAATAACCAATCCTATTAATTAATTTATCCAACGATTGTTAAATTAATTAATTGGCAATTTGCAATCTTCCAATTCTCTTTTGTGTGCGATCCATTAGGATCCCGACCACGATGCCTAATGACATGAAATATTATTTTGATCTAATCAAAACTGATAAATTAAACACCCTTTTAATTTATCACAAATTCACACTCACCGTCCCAGATTGACATCTAACAATGTATCAAGGCAACACATGTGACGAAAAATGTCACGTGGTATGACAAAATCAAAACTATTCGTTTACCATAAAACTACAATCCCTTTGTCTATATGATCTGATCAACTACGAGATATGGAAGTGTGTTAATCTCGATTACCGATCATATCTTTCATTCTACTATTAAGTCAATATAGTCGAAAACTCCTTTTCGACTTATATGTATACATTGGCTAAAGATTTCGTTATTGACTTAATTGAACGAAATGCAGATCACAATCTCTTACTATCTAAGAGTGACGAATCCTCTATTGGTTATTCACAATCTTTATATGATTCTCGACATACCCGAACGATGTCGTATTAGCGGCCCTTGGCAGAGTAACATCCAACACCGTCAAAGCATGACAGTCCTTATAAAAGGCACTATGATGACCTCAAGTTATAGGACCAATTCTACTACCGAACGTTAGAGATTAACTATTGACACTCAGATAGTTATTCATGTGCAATCTCTTAGCGGGTCTCCAATGTTTTGTTCTATAACAAAATATCCACATGCTCATTTAAGTGTCACCACACTTTAGCTCGTGAGATCAACTACTTACTTCACGAGTAAGAAATGCCACACGTGATGGTCTAACTGTATTAACGATATTTGTATCTCGTCATTACTTACGACCACGATTTATTCAAAATTCAATCATACGTAATTTATATCTCACAATAACAACTCCTTGTGATTAACAAATCACTTAAACTTAGATCTTCAGATTCTATTATTTAATATTATTTATCACAAAATTAATTTAAATCAATAATAGATCTTGCCAAATTAAATGCATTAAATATATTAAAAATATTTACAACCTAAATCGATTGGATTTAGGGCATAACACTTACATTATAAACCCAATTTACAAGAATTGCTCAAAAGGTCCTCTTTGCTTGAGCCAAAATGAAGTTGAGCCTACCTAGTGTCGATGGTCCCAACAAGAGCAATACCTTTTTTGTAATGACTGTTGCACTAGACAATAACAATTCTCAGCTTCCAAGTGAAGTCGTTTTCACTAATAAATACATTATGCTTTCTAACTATGCTCCCCATTCTCATTGTTTCCTTTTTCGCGAATTGGTTTCAACATTTAGAGTTAGGTCATGAATTCACTGTAATCCACAGCGACTTTTGTAAAAAATTAGAATAAGCACCATTAATAAAAGTTAGAATTGAATAAAATATTTGCAGAAAAGGGAAAAAGTGTGAGATATTGAAGAAATAATGGTACAAGGAAAGTAGGGATTGAATTAATTCTACAAACAAATGAACAAATGTATAATAATTGTTATCAGTGTCGATTTTGCAATGTTTTAATATTAATTTTTCTCATTATTTTATCCATTTTTTTTTTAACTAATATTCTTTATTAGCTTTCTTTTAAATTTTGTAGGAATTGTGGGGCGAAGGTGAACATGTCCCTTGATGTGGAGAAGGAACCTTCTCCACATGAAGGATCCGGTCATGTCGCTACACAACTTTTGGCTACTACTGCCTCGAAGAATTTTTAGAATGTTTATCTTTTCCGGTGATATTTCAGTTGATAGCTTTATATATATATAACACTACTTGTATATAATGAGTTACAAAAAGTTTTACTGACAAATGAAGTGTCAAGAAGACAGTGGATATGCTTTCTTTCTTTCTTTTTTTTTTTTAATTGAAGAAATTTGTACATAATCATATTTCATCACATTATGTGTACGTATATCAATATGTAAGCGATGATGTACATGTAATACAATCGTGTTTAAAAATATGAGAGAAAAATAAGTTTATTATGCATTCTTATTGGAATTTTTGAAGTGAAGCTGTCACAAGATAGAAGATGTGCTAATTATTGATATATTGATGTAACGAAATTAAAAAAAAAAAATTGAAATATAAATACCACAATGAACAAAGACTAAAAACGTTAAAATAGTTAAAACTTAAAAGTAGCACAATGATAAATAAGGGGGTTGGCATGTTTTATATATATAAAACCTAAATAAAAGTTCCCATATGCTAGAATAATACGATTTTTCTATAAAGAGAGGGAGATGTAAATTAAAATTAATATGCTTGATGTAGTTACGACAATCCCTTGCAATTTTCGTTTCTTATAGTATTAACAATGATTCTAATGAAATGATATAAAAATAAGAAAATCAGATAATCTACAGTGAGAACTAATTTAATTCGTTGTTATCATAATTTTTCAATTTTAACTTTCTATATATATATATATACTTGTGACAAGTATGTATTAATGGAGTACTTTATTGAATTAAAGAAGTACAATGCTAGTACCATTAAAAGAAAATACAATTTGCTTAGCAAAATTGTTCTATATCAAGCTTAACTATTTACCTTGTGCAGAACATCTAGGACTTACCTTCTACATTCTCACAAGATAGGTATTCAAACATTATTCATCCATTGAACCCGATGCATTAAGTTCGTACATCACTTACAGAGAACAAGGGAGAAGCGATGTCGAGTCATCGATCCATCAAAATGCTATAAACACACAGCTCCTGTTTGACCTTCATTTCTTATAATTTTTTTTTTCAAATTCATTTTTAATCACACATTTTATTAGACTTACTACTTTTACCAATTTTCAATCATACAAATCACAACATATTATCAAAATTTACTAAAAAAATTGATTATTATCAAAATCAAATATGAGGTTAAGTCCATCATACTTTGTGTCCACATTCCATTGCAATGATATCGATAGTCTCGTAAGATAGTATTTTGGATGTTAAAGTGTGTTATACCTCATAAAGCAAAAGGAATGCATGATTGTATGCATCGAAGGCACATACCCTTTTCGGCTACTTCACATTTATAAATATAATTGTCCGCAATCTAATTTGGCCTTACATGTAAGAAACAAGAAAGTTGTTTTACTTGATTTTATTGAAAAGAGCTCTTCTACACAAGCAGGGTTCGTCACCAAGTCCTGTTGATGGGGGCTGAGGTGGCTTTTGCTGTTTGTTTAGAATTTTTCTATTGAAAATGATATATGTTTAATTGAAAAATGACAAAATTTATTTTAAGGATGTCCAATCTGTCTCCTTGTTGGTGACCCACTGCAAATCCCACCCTCTCCACTTTTCAACCACAGTGAGTAGCCCACGGAGACCATGATTGCGAAATTCCGCCTTTAACCACCACATCTAATTTTAGTGAAAGCACATACGAGGGTATTTGTCGTAAATCTCTTTAATTACGAACCTATTTTCGTACATTTTTATTTTCATTCCCTTCTCTTGTAACGATATTCCCTAAACCTATCTTTATCCCTTTATTTTTAATAATTATAATAAGTCAACCACAATATTCCCCTTTTTTCATCCCTTTCTCTTCTACCCCTAATTCGACGCCGATTTCTCCTCTCGATTCTCAAATTAACCTCCGATTCTTACGATTCGCTTTTTTCTCTTTCGATTGATACCTCTTGTGCTTATCTCCGTCGAGGCAATCGAAATCTAGGGTTAGGGTTTGAAACGTGTTTGATTCTCGCCAGATCTCTTTGAATTCAGCTTTAATTTTTGTAAATTAACTGGTTTTTTTATCTGGGTTTCTAATTTTTCCTCCCGAATTACTTATCCTTTTGGGGAAATTAAAAATAAGATTTTTCCCTTTTTTCTAGCGTTGTAGGGTTCAAGTTACACGATTCTTCGTTTAATTTCTTACGTTTAAAAATTAATTTTTTGGTTATGTCAAAAGTGTTTAGATTGGTGAGTTTGTGCATAAATTGGGGATCTAGGGTTTCGTCATAATTATTAAATTATTAAATTTTATTGAGAAACAAAGAATTAATCTTTTGAATTAAGTAATTATATCTGAGTTGATTGAAAATCGGCCTGCAATATCGAGATCTGCCTTTCCATTTGAGTTGAAGATTTCTCCAATTTTTGAGGTATTGCAAATTTTTTTTGACTATTATAAGTTTGATATTTTGCACGAATCAACCAACTAACTTTTTATCATAATTTCAGAGGTTAAATAGAAAAGTTGCTGATGTATTTTGAAGGAAAAAAATTTCTGATTTAAGGGCTAAATTTATTTTATATTATTTTGGGATAATTAATAAAACGTGGGCCTATTGTCCGGTCTAAGACAGTCCCTTGCCACGTATTATGTCATTTTAATAATCTTTTTTTTTCTTTTTTTCTTTGGCACCATCAAATCCAAGTTTGAATTTTTAGATCTCCACCAAACACGCAATGAGGGACGTATTGCCTTATTTCTTGAGAACAGAAGTGTGCAAAAATATTTGCGGGTTGCTTCCTATTAGTTGTGTATTCTTTTATAAGTTTTGACTAGTATTATACTAATTATAACAGCGAGAAGGAAAAATGGGTAAGCGTCAACCACACTCAGTTGTCACTGAAGTTAAAATTGTCACTGCTAAACTTTCAATTACACCAATCCAAGTTTCATGATGACATCATGTCACATACTTTAGTGATGCCCTTTTGGAATTGGAGGGGTTTCAAAGTTTTAATAGTGGGGTAGTCTTGATTTTGTTGAATTGACTCGGATATTTTGCATTATTGACTTGTGTATTCTATTTTGTTGGTTTTTACATTTTCTTGATATGAATTTGAAGATCTCTTAGGGTCCGTTTGATTGCAAAGATTGAATTTAGGTGGAAAAAACGCATTTCAGGGGATTGAATTATCTAGAAATTGTTTTACTGGGAATTGTCAATTTTTATGTTTGATTGGTATAATTTTCCACGTGGAAAATATTGAAAGAAAAGCGTTTTTTGATATTCGTTTGATTTTGTTTTACATAAAAATTGTCAATTAAAGAGATATAATTTACTGGTATTGGGGATGAAATTTGTTTCCATTGTCAAAAAAAAAAAAGGCCAAGAAAATCATTTATCTTTTGGTGTTCGTTTTACTTTGTTTTACATGAAAATTGTCAATTAAAGGAAAATATTTTTTAAAAATTAGGATAGAATTTGTTTCCATAGCAACAAAAAAGAAAAAGAAAAAAGAAAAAAATCAACAACAGTAGCCTAGGTGGGAATTGATTTTCAAGGAAAACCATGAAAATGTCTAGGCGGCAAGAAAACCAATTACCTGTAAAAAAAATATGCTATCAAATAGCTAAAAAGTGGAAGTTGGAATTTGAATTCCATTTTCCATGGAAAATAATGACCTATCAAACAGACCCTTAGTGCATAATTTTACCAGTTATGCCTTTTCTGTATTTCTTCTCTTTCCAGCGTTTGTGGCTCTGGAAGATTTGTTAGAGATGTTGAGTCTTGATAGTTAGTGCTGTTAAGCCCTGATGTCAGCTTCTTATTGTTATCAAATAGTCGTGAAATTGTGCACGGTCAATTTTACAACACGTCCTTACGTTTATAAGGTTTTCTGCAATCATGGACATCTTTTGGTCCGTAGGGGAATGTTGCTTTTATAAGAGGCAAGAATCTTGATGTTGCTCTAAATTTATTGTTTGAACAAAATTTGGGGGGTGAAATTGGGGTGGCCTTTTTAAGGCTTAAGCTGTTCTTGCCTGGAAGTCTATGGCTTTCTAGTACATTATGCCTAACGAATGGTGCAACCTTTTTTCTTTTCTGAAAGTTAATGAATGCTGTAACTTATGATTTTGGTACTTGTAGAATTTTAAAAAGCTCTTCTTGCCTTCTTAAAAGATATAGAATCTCATTCTGTTAATCTTTCTTCACCATTCAGAGTATTCAATGGAATATTTTCTGAAAATATCAAGATTGCATTTATGTGGACTCCTCAGTTGAAGAAAGATTATTATCCTTTTTATTAAATGAAAATGTTAAAGAGCGAGCTACATAGGTTGTCCAGTTGGCGACTTTTTACTGACACTACAAAGATGATTTTCTTCACCATTTTAGTTTTGCTTCCCCTTTTTTCTGTTTTCTTAAATTGTATTAGTATTTTTTATTTTATTTTATTTTATTTGAATATGGTTTTACATTTTACAATTTTTTCCTTGTCATTTTGTGAAACTTTTACCAAATTCTCCTTGTTCATACATTTTCATAAACCTCTCTTTGATCTTACTCTTACAGTTACAGTTAAACATGGTCCAAAAACGGCTTTTTGATGAAGATGAGTCAAATGAGGTTTCATCTAAACAACCAAGGCAAATGGAACTCAATAGTCAGCTTGTTTCATCTTTGGAATTTCCTCCTGAGCCTGTGGTCCAGAGTTGTCATAAATCAGGTGTGAAAGGGGCTTATGAATGTCCTCGAACAAATGTATGACCTAAGAGTTTGTCATATTAATTTCTTATGTAAATTCACTATATTTGGTGATATCCTACTTAACCCACCATAGTCTACTTGCTCGTGCCTTTCCATAAATACCGAGCTGTTTATCCTAACCATAACTGGATGATTAGAATGCACCCGACTGAAAAGAGTTTGGTTGACAAAGTCCTTGGTGTAACTAGGTTTTATTGAGAAGGGCAAGATAAGGGATCCTAGATGAATGCATCTCTCCAAGTTATTACAACTTGGATATGTACTTGTAGGGAATCTTTTTATAAGATTCTTTTGAGGTCCTGAGGGTATTTTTTTTTTTTTTTGGGTAATGAAGCCCCTGTTTGAGCTCCTTTTTTGTAAGAAGTTATTATTTGGAAGAATGCGTGATCAAAATTGGAGAAAAGTTTTGGGTTTACATGCAAAATTATTTTGTTTGAAAATTCGTGGTTGAAAAGGAGTGTCCAAGAACAGGGCTCAAGCAGGGGCAAAATATCTAATGGATCGTCCAGGTTCACATAATGATATATTCTACTTACATCATTCCTCCTTTTTTTGTTGGATTCTTGGTCATTCAAGTTTTTAATTGCTACGACGGCTTCTTGTGTCACATAATCCTGTTATGCTCGTTGACTGGTTCAAGTATTTGATAGGTGAAAGTTACAACGGTTTAACAAAAACCAAGGCAGAAAGTGATCAGAAGCTTGATGTTGGGTATATTACTGAACAACTTTGCACCACAAAAGATGTGGAAACCAGTGTCCCTGGTTCCCTTCCCAGCTCTTCCCTGTTTGCCGGAACTATTAGTGAAGAAGATATCAGACCAGAAGCACCATTTCATATAATGTTGTCTCCTGAACGCTTTTTTGAGCATCAACCAAGGACCATAGTCCACCCTGGGGAGATATATTCTTTTCTTTTAGATCGTCCTCCTCGGAAACTTGTCCCTGTTGGACAATATTATCAAGCTGATATACCGGAATGGGGTGCACATTTTTGCAAAAAGACATCCAGTTACTCAGAACATATAGAAGCGCCATATCTCGTTTCTCAAGCTCTGGAATCTGATGAGGAGAAATTAGCTGGAACTTGTGTTGTTCCAATGTCAGATTCAAATCAACTTGCAGACACTGGGGTTGGGAGAACAGGTTGTATGTGTGAAGACGATGGTACCATCAGATGTGTTCAACAACACATTATGGAAGCTAGAGAGAAACTTAGGGGAACCCTTGGGCCTGAGACTTTTGCTGAGTTGGGATTCTCTTATGTGGGAGAGATAGTGGCAGAGAAATGGAGTGAAGAGGAAGAGAAATTGTTTCACCAGGTTATATTTTCTAATCCCACATCATTGGGAAAGAACTACTGGAACCATCTTGCTGTTGTATTTCCTTCCCGGTCAAAGAAGGAAATTATCAGCTATTATTTTAATGTGTTTATGCTACGAAGACGAGCTGAGCAGAATAGGTTTGCCCCATTAAATATTGATAGTGACGATGATGAGTGGGTGGAAACCGAGGATTCTACTGATAATGAAGTTCAAAATGGTGAAGATGATAATGAAGTTCAAAATGGTGAAGATTATGACTCCATGGCTGAATCACCAATGAATCCTGATCATAGCGAAGTCATTCATGTAAAAACCATTGCATATGAGGATGTTGCACGGAGTGCTCCTGTGGATTGTAGAGTTGTGGATTTTGGTGGTGATAATATCAATGATCAAGAGGCATGTACTTGTAAGTTAGACGTCGAATGTAGTTTGGACCCTACTCTTCGTCCTTCGGACGGAAATCTTTCTCATGATACAGGAGGTCGTGATACCCAAGAACGCTCATCTAGGTCTAGTGATACTGGGGTTGGTTCACAACTAACCATGGAGAAAGCTGATAGTCACAAACAATGGACAGGTCACTTAAGTGGAACAAACGGGTTCAGTTGCCATGAATTCATGACGGAGGCCTGCAATGCTAGAGAATGGGACTTTGGTTACGTCAATTGTCCAAGAAACGAAGTTGAACTCTTACCCACATGCAATATGATTGAAGAAGTTTTTGGGGCTGGATCTTGGGATGGACAGGGCTTAAACTAGCAAGTAGCAACCGATATCCATTTTACAGTGTTGGAGAGCTTCAAACTTTGGTGTACATGTGAATCCACCTGGAGATAATAGGATCATCATCTTCCTTATACATTGACAATGGTGGAAGATGGATGCTTGGTACACCAATTTTAGAAATTTTGTCAGGTTGTTACCTAGTCAACCTATATTGTTTCTTTCTCCTCTCTCCCCTCAATCCCTTGTTCTGTAATTTTTGTTGTCTTTGCTTGCGATAATGTGGCTTATCCTAGATTAGAAGGACTTGGAACTCCTTGTTATGGCTCTTAAGTAGCCATGCCCATGTGTAGTGCAGAAAATCTGCTCGTAGCTAATAATAGCTCCATTCGAGGTCGGAAGCTGAGGGAAGTTTGATTTATTCTGATGAACTTCCATTAATTTCTCCATCATTTCTGTCATGGTATTCTTTTTTACTCAATCTCAGCTTAGGGACACGAGTATGGGTTCTTGGCAGTGTCTCCAGTTTTGCTTGGAAGTTTCTTTCTACTTGGAAAGGGGTAAATTACCTTAAGAAATTCTATAATTTTTGGGTTTCACAATTTTGTGGTGCATACATGGATTATTTAAGACAGAAGTTTCTTAATATAATATTTGCAGATTAAATTTTCTGACTTGAAAGGAAATCTGACTTTTAATAAATTCTAGGGAAAATACCCTAAACCAGTCAATTATTATTTTTTGGTTAAAATGAAATTTGCCTTCTGTCGGACTTCTATTAAATATGGTCATTTAATCATAGAAAATGACTTGTGACCTAGTAAATGTCTTCGAGATATTGACAATATAGGAAAAGTTCATTTAAAACGGATTAGAAACTTTGTCAAGTTCACTTAGTTTGATGAGAATGTTTAGATGGTTTGAACGTTATGAAAAAAGAGTGGAGGAGGTAGTGTTTAAATAAGGGAAAATCAGGTCGATCACTGTAATTCCACGTGTAAAGAGAAACCCATTTTCTTGTGTTATACTGCATTTCGTTCGAACCTAACCTTATTCCAAGCCGGGAGGAAATTGTTGGAAATGATAGGATAATCCATCCTATTTTCAAAGTGACTTTTGACCGCCTTTTTAATTGAAAAAAATTGAATTTAAAGCTTAAAATTCCAAAATACCCCTCGACTATCCTCTTTCCATTTGCTCAATAGTCGCACAAAACGGGGAAAAAAAAAAACAAAAGAAACCCATTTTCTTGTGTTATACTGCATTTCGTTCGAACCTAACCTTATTCCAAGCCGGGAGGAAATTGTTGGAAATGACAGGATAATCCATCCCTATTTTCAAAGTGACTTTTGACCATTTTTTTAATTGAAAAAAAATTGAATTTAAAGCTTAAAATTCCAAAATACCCCTCGGCTATCCTCTTTCCATTTGCTCAATAGTCGCACAAAACTGGAAAAACAAAAAAAATCGGTTTCCAATCGGTCGGAGAACTTGCTAGTCCATCGTTAGCGAACTACTTCTTGTTAAGGTAACCATAAATATTGAATATTTGGTTGGATTAATGTTTAGATTTTGGTAAAAAGTGTGAATGATTCTTTTGTGGGAGCTTTTTTCAATATATTGTTGTTTATATAAGTAAAATAGGGTTTATATAGTGTTTTAATGATTGATTTTTTAAATTTGGAAGCTTTTCTTGTCGAAAATGATGATTTTCCGACAAAAAAGGGGTAAGAGCTTTTTTCGCTAAAACAGTCGGGTTAACAATCGTTATGGGCCATACCAACTGTTAACAGTCAGCCCATACCGACTGTTAAGCAGGCCGAACTTAGTGGGCCGACTGTCGGCCCACTCCTTTTTTTCTTTTTTCTTTTTTTTTTTTAGCCCAATTTCTTTTACATATAATTTAATAATTTAATTTTAAATAATTTTTATTATTAGTTTTTAATAAATAATAAATTATTTAGTCATCGAATTTAAATAAAAATTTTACGACTAAATTTAAATAAAATTTTTACATTTAATTTTTGTTTTAATATTTATTTTTATTTCTTCATTTTTGATAAATAATAATTTTTTCATCCATCGAATTGAAATAATTATTTTAATTGTGAACTTAAATTTTATATTTATTTTTATTATTAGTTTTTGGTAAATAATAATTTATTTAGTCATAGAATTTAAATAAATTATTTAATTTTAATTTTTAATTTTATTAATAGTTTTGGATGATGTTCTTTTCATTCATCAACTTTAATTAATATTTTTAATTGTAATTTGAAATAATATTTGGAAATTTATTTTGAAATTTAATATTTATTTTTATTATTATTTTTTGATAAATAATAATTTATTTAGTCGTCAAATTTAAATAAATTATTTACTTTTAATTTTATTAATAGTTTTGGATGATATTCTTTTCATTGATCAAATTTAATTAATTTTTAATTGTAATTTGAAATAATTGTTGAAAATTTAATTTGAAATTTAATATTTATTTTTATTTTTATTATTAATTTTTGATAAATAATATTATTTTCATTCATCGAATTTAAATATTTTTTGAACTTGAATTGATTAAGAAAATATTCATAATTGGGAAAAATTGACATTATTGATAATAGGATAAAAAAAATCACATTATTGATGATTTTAATTATTATGAATCTACGTCTTGCATATTGTGGTTACAATTTCGTTCGCTAAATTTTCTGTTATTATACTTTACTCTATTATCACTTTACAATGTTATAACATTTTGAATTTTTACAGGATGGATTATCATCTTGACACAAAGTTGAGACAGATGCCAGGCAAAGTTACGTGAAATAGTAGCTTTGACAATTTCACTGCTGTGTTAAAGCTGCTCGATGATCAACATGTTGATATGCTGAATCAGTCCTTCCTGTGGCCCTTGTACTCGTTGAGAGATCCACAATACTCGAGTTAGATCATTGATGCACTTCTATGTCGATTGTTGAGTCCAGTCGACGACGATGCCGTCCACTTTGCAGTTGGGGGCAAAGTCGCCACTTTTTCGATGTTCGAGCTTGCTCTGATCATGGGATTAAAGATTACGGAGTCGGGGGTAAAGTCGCCAATTTTTCGATGTTCGAGTTTGTTTTGATCACGGGATTAAAGATTACGGGTGATGAAGCAGCTTGTGATGGGACTCAGAGAAAAAATAGGCCTCATGACGCTTACTTCGAGAGGCAGGGAATTGTGTTTCTTACACAGCTGTTGGACGCAATCAAGAGGTGTGATCAGATGTTAAAAAGACTGAAGTTAGGTCTGGACTACATCCTTGAAAGCGGTGTGCGGTGTCACCATAAGAAGACTGCGATCGACTTCTTCCATCTGGAGATCGTTGACGACATCGATCGTTTCAACGACTATCTTTGGGGCCGGAGATGTTTTGAGGACACCGTACACGTTTTCACCAGATTGCACTCGAAGTTGAAAGGAGCCATGCGTAACTACAACACCTATGGATTATCCCTAAGGTGCAGGTAAATGGTTAACATAATGAATATTAAAATTATTTTCATATTGAATATATATATAATAATTGTATGTGTCGCAAATCTGGGCGTATGAGACCGTCTTCATATTGGGTGCTCGCTTTGCTAGGCAAGGAGAGATACGATGCGCTCGGATGCACCATCGGAGAGCATATCGATCGGAGGGATGTTCCACTGGAAAACAGTTATCGGCTATACTCTACGACCTTCAAGTGAGTATTATGCATTTGTAATTTATATTGTGCATGATTTAACATATAATTGTATGATCGTTAACTAGTTCAAATGTTAATATGTCAGCTTGAAATCATAACTGAGTTGACGCCGTCGATGGAAGAGGAGGCTCAAAGTCTTGTGCGTGAATTAGGCGTTTCGCACACCCAAGATGACCAGATGTCCGATCCAATCCACGATCGAGATTGGGTAAGCAAATTGAATAAAATCTATTGATTACCGTTTTGTAAGAGTTAACAATTACGGATTAAGTTAATAATTTGTAATGTTGTTGCTTGTGTAGGAGCGTGATCCAGTTGATCGACGATCACCTCCGCCGAGGGCATCTCCTTTTCCGCAGGAGATGCCACAGAGGCTATCTCCTTCGCCTCCCCCATCCAGAGACCTTTCCCGTGGATCTCTCACACATAGTCAAGGGCAATTTTTTCATGATCTGTATGCTCGTCTGACCAGATTTATGGCGGGGCAGGTCGATGGGCTGCGTCAAGAGATGATATAGAGGGTTGATGATCTGGGACGACGGTTGGTAGGAAGGGTCGAAGATTTGTCGAATGATGTTAGAGTGCTGCATGGCCATTGTGCCGACCTTGAGAATGAGATTACAGCACTTTGAGGTGATATAGCCGGTAGGCGATCGGTTGACGGAAATGGTGATCGAGGGGGTGATTGAGAGGGTGATAGAAATAGGGGTATCTGACAGTCATACATGCATGATGATGATACGTGGAAATAATTTATTTTATCCGTGAAGCACGATGGGACGGGAGTAGTGGCAGAGGAGGGGGGCTCGTCAGGGATGGAGACGGTGGTAGATGAGGGAGTGGCCCCGTCTGGAATGGAGACGGTGGCAGATGAGGGGATGGAGGAGGTGGCAGTGTATAAGGTAAAAAAGCGTGCTATTGACATGTTGGAGATAGTGGTTGGCAAGAGGCCGGGAGTGCCGTCACAGTACGTCGTCTCTCCCTTCATAGCTGAGGCGAAGAGGAGGAGGTTCGTCGATGGGACGTACCCCAATCTGTTCCGGGAGGTCGACCATGCCAAGTGGAAAGCATTCGAGGCTGAGTGGCGAAAAATATTGCTCGGGCAAGTATTGTATTATTTAGTAAACTATCAGAACTCGTATATGCTTCGTTTAACATTTTTTTCTATTTATTTCCAAAGCCACGCACATGATAGCCGGAAAGTCGATATTAAACGCATACAAGTGGTTCCATGATATCACCACTCAAGAGGCTTAGTTCGCCGACGATGTAAGTGAAGTATTATTGTTACTTTTTGTATACATTATGTTTAATTTGGTAAATGAAATAAGTATTTATATCTTTGTTTTCCTTGATTTAGCAGATCGACATGGTCATGGACTTGTTGCGCGATCGAGTTGAGAAATATTCATAATCATTCCACAAGCCTGGCCGCATAATACTGAACACCGAGTTCTTCCGTGCTATTACCATTGAGTATCAGTCGCTCCAGCTACTAGGTAACGAGTACGTGCTTCCGGCATATATGCTCGAGTGGGTCATCAGGATGTCACTGAGTGTTGGGGGAAAGTTATGGGAGGGTTGTACGCATTTGTACATTCTAGTCATCGTGAATCAGCACGGCATTGCACTAGAGATCGTATTCCCTGATTCGACGATTTATGTGTACAACCCCAATCATTCATATTTGACACAGGGACAACTCGAGCAGAACTTAGAGCTGGTGACTGTGATTGTTCCCTTGATGGCTAGACATGCAGGCTTGACTATAGAAGAAAAACTAGTCATCGTGCGGGACAGTCGAT